CGTGTTCTGTTCTCACAGCTTCTTGCCCCAGGAAGGCAAGGAGTCCTCCAAATTCGGATTGAAAGCCAGACATGGATGCTTTAGTGAAGCTCAGGGGATCAGGCACCCTGACCGGCAGAGAGTGAACATCTCCACAGGACACTTGGTAACCTTCAGACTCCTTGGGACTAAACCATGATCAAGCGATCAGGCACTGGCGGTGGCCTGTGTCATTCATCTTCTGTTACCTTCTTAGTGCTCCGAATGGGTTAGTCCAGTGAACAGAAGTCTCTGTGATTAATTCAATTAATGACTTCTTTTGGGGAGCAATTGTGTCTTAGTGTAAAACAGTTAATTTGTGAAAGTGAACAGCTAGCGTTCTCCTTGCTTGGTAAATCTGGTACCATGTGGCACATTTCACCTGGTGAGAGGCTGGTTTAGAGAATGGCCATCGTCCTAAAGGAAGCTCGTGTGATAGTCTACTGGAGCTGGTGGCCAAGTGAGGCGCTGCTCGAAGGGACAGGGAAGAGATCCACCTCATATTGAAGGTCTTTCCTAACCCTCTCTTTCCAGGACCTCCTCAAAGAGCATACCCTTGGACCCCCCACCGGCAGGTTAGTGAATCCCTACTCCTGGTAATAGCTGTGCGCTGAACATACCCCATACAGGGCTGTGCTGAACATCCTTGGCCTGTTACCTGGTGGGATCATCATAAACTGTGCAGGCCAATGCTGTGCTACCACCACATAACAGACATGAAAGCTGAGACCTCAGAGACTTAGTCACTGAGTATCTTGATCAAGGTCACCAAGAACCAGTGAAGGTCAATTGATTTTCTCAAGGTCACAAACTCTTTTAAAAAAAACAGAAATGGTTATTTTTACCCATAGACGACTTTTTCTGCAGCACTGAGGACTGAGTCACTTCCTTGATATTTACAAAGTACATGTTGTATGAGGGACAGTGAATGTCTACAGGCCTGTGTTCTGGGGGCCAAAACATGAGACACACAGGGAGGTCACCCGGGTCATTCAACCAGCTCAGAGTCCACCATCGTATAAACTTTGCCTAACCATTCCTGGCCCTCATGATATGTTAATTACTTCCGAGAGCTTAGGACATCTGTACTGTGCACTTGGCCATAGCTTTCCACAGCTGCTTTCAAAATACAGCAAAAGTCAGAATGGTCTGATTAGTGGCAGGATTAACTTACGGGCTGATTTTTCATTCTCTGAGGTAGACATTATTTTCAAAGAGCATTTGACACTTAGATTGTAGAAGGTGTCTTTAAAAATTATTTATTTTTTATGTGTATGAGTGTTTTGCCTGCATGTATGTAAGTGCACTCATGTCATACGATGCCTGCAGAGGTCAAAAGTGGGTGTCAGATCCAAGTTACAGATGGTTGTTAGCCGCCATGTGTGTCCTGAGAACCGAACCCGTGTCTTCTGCAAGAGCAACCAGTGCTCTTAACTGTCGAGCCACCTCGGCAGCCCCTAGAAAAAGCCTTTTAATAGTCTCATGATAAGTGCCTTTCCCATGTTCATTGTTCGCTTGATGTGGGTAAGGCTTATCATGAGCCTCTAAGGGGACCAAGCTGAGTCCCGTTCTTTGAATCTTTCACCAAAAATGTTGGTGTCTTTCAAAGCAACTGCAGAATAATGCTTGAGATAATAGGAATTATTCTGTGTACCTTACACTATAATCTTAACATATAATATTAATAATATTTATTATTTCTTGATCTCTGTGTGCAGGGCATTGTACCAATTGTCCCATTTCATTCCCACCATGGCCTGTTTGTTCTTGTTATTTTTTCAACCTCATCTGTAAAGAAAACAGGCTCAGAGTCAGAGTCACACAGTTGGGAACTGAGTCCTGGTAGTTCAGTCATATAACCTGGAAATTAAAAAAAACACAGGTATGAGTGCATGCCTCTCTGTCTTTTCTTCTCTGATGGTTAATACGACAGGATCTAGAATGACCTAGGAGATAAAACTCTGGACATGTCTTCGAGGGAACTTCTAGACTGGTTTAATTGAGGTGGGAAGACCCACCCTAAATGTGGGAAGTGCTGTCCTCTAGGCTGGGGTCCTGGACTGAATAAAAAGGCGAAAGCAAGCTGAGCACCAGCATCATCGCTCTGCTTCCTGAACTGTCAAGATGAGCAGCTGCCTCCTGCTCCCACCACCATGCCTTCCCTGCCTCGATGGATTGCACCCCCAAACTGAGGCAGAGAACCTTCCCTTTCTTAAGTTGCTTTTCTCAGGTATTTTGTCACAGCAACAAGAAGAAGAATTAGCACACCTTACTCATCCTTGATCAGACATAACTCCAAGTGCAGATGCTCCCTGAAGCCTGCTTTCCCTCCAGTGTCACCCAGTACTTCCTGAGGCAGGACTTGGCAGACAGACCCTTCTGAAGTCCTTGCTCAGAGCACTTGGGCAGACAACTGTTGAACCTTCATGATGGCAGCAGAGGAGCGGAAGCCCCGAGCCAGATGCATCATGTGCCGTGCTCACATGACCTTAATTTTCTTGTTCTTATCTTTCCATAAATTGTCTCCATCTCACTGTACATGAAGTTGTGGTGAACTAACTCTGAATAGGAGAAATGGCAGGTTAAGTTGCCTTTCATTTGTTTTCCATAATAAATGGAATATGTCCTTGAACACTTGAAGTCATTAACATTTCAATTTATTCATGCTTTTTCTTCCCAGTGTCCTAATGGCAATATTGCATAATTATATCCACTGTATGGCCATCAACTTTGAAGGTGCCTTGCACGTCTTTGGTTGGAGTGTTGATTGAAGGAGGCAGCTGCTTTCTATGCTCTCCTCCTGACTTCTGGGACTTCAGTTGTTAAACGGGGAGACAATGCCAGTGACAGAAGTGATCAGGAACTGGGTGAGGATCCATGCTCACTCCCTCATGCTTTCTCTGTACTGGCACCAGTCCAAACCTTTCACACTTGTTAACTTAATCCACCCACGACTCACTGAGGCAGATTCTGTTATCACATCCACTGCTATAGATGAGGAGGCTGAGACACAGAGAGAGGAAGTGGCTCACATTAGGTTGGTAAGTACCAGGCTGGGCTTTAGCCACAGCTTAGGACAGCCAAGGTCTCCCTGATAATACCTTTCTGTCTCTTTTGTCAGGATAGTTACACAACTGGTAATTCTGCTGTGTTGGACGTTTGGATTAAAAAGGGTAAGAGAAAAGTGGTGGGATGGTAAAGCCTTGCTGTGGCTTGACTGCACAGCTCGAATTAGAGTTTACTCATCATTGTGAGGAGCTGGGCGGGGTGGGGGGGAGGAGGATCAGCTAGGCATGGGGGTGTGTGACAATGATCCCAGCACTTGGGAGGCTGAGGCAGAAGCACAGTGAGTTTGAGGCAGCCTGGGCTACAATAGGAAGACCCTGTAGCCTTTCCTAGAAAACAAGAGGGAAGACCAGGGAAGACCTTTGTGAGAGGATTGGTTCTGAGTCACAAGGGCTCTGTCCCTCTGAACAGATTAATGGCTTTGTGGATCAGTGGGTTAACCTGGAGGTGGGTTGGTTATAAAAGTTAGTTTCATTGTCTCTTGTATGTGTCCTTCTTACAACGTACACATGCTAGCTGCTTTCACGTCATCATGACCACAGAACCTGACAAAAACAACTTAAGAGAGGATTTTAGTTGGGATCATGGATTCAGAGGGTTTAGCTATCTTGAGGAGGATATGAAAGGGCCTCGCTGCTCACGTCCGGGGGGTCGGTAAGCAGAGAGAAAGCAGCACTGGCACTTTTCTTCCCCTTTTCTCCCCCTGGGCTACAGCCCATGGAGTGGCACCCCCTCAGTTAGTTCTTTCATGGAAATACCCTCAAAAACACACTTAGGGTGTGCTACAATTTCCTAGCTCAAGCTGGCAGAGAAGATGAAAGGTCACACCATGTGAAGCCCTGGGCCACCTCAGGGCTCTGCAGAGTTGCAACCAGCAAGAAGTTCTCCACCCATCCCAGCTCCTCTACCTTAGACCTGCCAGCCTCTGGAATCCCAGTGGAATAAACCTTTGTTCTTTATAAGTTACACAGTTTGTGGCATTAGTTCTAGCAACAAAAAGTTAAGAGAGACAGGATTAAATGCTTTTTCTCATCCTTGCTTTGTATGTTCAAATTGTAGCTCTTGCCTAGAGACCCATGGCTTTTGAAACACTGTGGGTTTAAAACACATGATGGTATAGCCAAGTGTACATTTCAGCCAGAAAGTTTTAAATAACCTTATCTCAGCTTTCATCATTTGAAGGTCATGGGTGCGGTCATGTACAGGCCACAGTGCATTCCTGAAAATCAGGGCAGTTTCTAAATTGATTAGCCTCGACACTTAAATTACACATGTGTTCTTAAGTGGGTTACCTTCCAGGCACCAAGCCCTTGAGTAGCACTCAGTGCTTTTGAGGGCATGTAGCACATGCTGCCTGGGCACAGACCAGGAGAGGCCTTGCTGCGGCCAGCAGTAGCAACGTGTGCACACCACCTTTAAAGTGATGCCTCAGAGTGATTGTGCTGTGTTTTTGGCCTTAGAAGTGCAAACTGAGGCTCTAATGTCGTAAGAGAAAGAGACTCAGAGGGAACATTTTAATTTTAGAAAACAAGCCTCCCCATCCAAGGAACTGCCCCCTCAAATCCATTAAAAAATTACCGCATTCCTTCCAAATGAGAAGGAAACTCATATTTCTTAATGCCTGGTCATCATTAATATTGTGTCAATTATTGCATTACTTTTGGGTGATAAATATTCAGAGGATAAATGAAGCCTGTAAGATGGATTAATTCTCCAGGAGTACAAACAAAAACTTTCAATATTTTATATCACATAATTAAATGCTGTTTGCTGTTTCTAGAACCAGAACTTGGGACATGCTAATTAATTGCTTTGAGAAGATGCTTTGACATGTTTCATAGTTGATATTCAGAATCAGATTATTTCTAACCCCTGCACAGCACTGCTGCTGAGTGAATTTGCAGAATCAATCCTACCTGCAGAAGTCTGGGGGCACCATGCCGTAGACATCAATCCTGTCACAGAGCTCCAGCGCGATCGTCATGGTGAACCAGCCAGTGCTGAGCCACGTGTTGGAGATCTTCCTGGAAGAGACGAAGATGAGGTCTACAGGCGGGTAAAGCAGTATTCATGTCCATTGCATTCTGGATCCTTCTGGAGTAAGGCTAACCATCGGAGATTCCCCACCACCCCAGACAGACACAGGTTCACAGGTTCTCTCTCTCTTTCTCTTTCTCTCTCTCTCTCTCTCTCTTCCTCCTTCCCCCCACTGATAAACATTTCAATTTTTCTAAATTGAAATGTCTTACTGTGTAATCATAACTGATGTCAATGAGTTGAGAGACTCTTACATCACTAAATATGATGATCAATATTCGAAAGTTTAGGTATGTGTCGTCACAACTCAATTGTAAGGTGGCAATATCCATGCAGCACTTTGTCATTAGTTAGAATACTTGACTAGAAATTCTCTTTGTACTCTCAAGCAAGCTAGATAACGAATAATTTAAATATGAATAAACATGTAGGTCTACCTAGCAACCGCTCTATTCTTTCACCCTCCTATCATCTATGTATCTGTACTCATCAGCATCCTGTCATCTATCATCCATTGATCTTTCATCTATCTATCTAGCTGTCTATCATTGATCTATATTCATCATCATCATCTATCATCCATATGTCATCTATGCATCATGTATGTATGTATGTATGTATGCATGTGTCTGTCTGTTCATCTGTCCATCCATTCTGAGGTGAAAGCTTGTCACCAAGTAGATTAGTGACACCAGCGTTATGACTGAATGTCTTTTATTGGGAGGAGGACATTTTCTGGGAAGGCAGAGGAGAGAGCCAGGGAGACACATTTAACTGAACATTTGCTTTTATTTTTCTTTAGGACATTCAGGGCCTTCTGAAAATTTTTTACTATAAACCCCAAATTGACAAGTTTAAGGAACGAATCTACATTCCACTATTCATTAATGTGTCCACCCAGACATCTTCGTGGAGCTTGAATAATGTGCTGAGCCTCAGGAGCCCTGTGGAGACACAGCACCCCGGTCTAATTTCAGTCCTGAGAGTGACTGGGTCTCCATGCTACGCTGCTGTGGGTGTTAATTTCTTCGGGGACTGCTGGTTTTTCCTTTTTCAGTGCCATGGCATGCCTCATTAGCCAGCTCCAAACACCTTATCCCCAAGGTCAGACTGTCTGACTTTGCCCAGCCACAGAACTATATGTGAGGTGAATATCAGAGCTGCAGACAGGGTTTTCTACGTGCACTGTGCGGCACCACACCTTGAGAAGAGGGAAGACTGTTCAACTGTTCTCTGCATCTTCATTTCATTCAGGGACAAAAAGGAGACCATTTTAAAGGAGTCCTTTGCCTTGTCAGATGCCTGAGAGGCCTGGACGGGTTAGTCTTTCCTGGGTTGCTGTTTCAACTTTCTAGTCATTAAGCCCTTACCTTGTCTCCCTCCCTTCCTTGCCATCCTGACCCAAGCTTTTCAGAGCTGCATGGGAGAACCACATAAGCTTGACCCTTTCCTGCTTCTGCATAATCAGCTCGGTGACAGGAGGCAGGCTGCTGCCAATCTCCGCCCCTCTGGCTCTTATCTACAAAGCAGGTAGGGGAAACACTCTATCCTCTGGCTGTTTAAGACGTCAGGGAGGGAATGTCCACAGAAAGCTTTGAGTGGGGTCTCTGGGCCGACAGAAATCCTCCCTCCTCTCCCAGCTGCTGCGGGAACGAACAAAGAAAATAATTCAGCCCTTCTTTCCCATGCTTTTTAGTGCGTATGAAGGAACTTTCCAACATGCCGTCCCTGGTGTGTGGTGGGTGGTACATCAGTAGTCAAGGGAAGTTCTTAAAAAGAGCAGAAACGTCCAGCTTCATAGGAATTAATGCCTTCCTTCTCACTGGGGCCATGTATTCATAAGGCTTTGGGGACTGGAGGAATCGGGAAGGTGTAGAACCTACTGAGGGAGGAAGGGAAGAAAAAGAGCCTTCTTTTAAGTGAGAGCCTGTTCTCACCTTCCTGCTGTGTCAATGTACTGGGCAGTTCTTCCTGGTCTAGTCTGAGGGAATAATAACTGGGAAGATGTGGAGCTCAGAAAGAGAAGGACGAGCACTTGCATCGCTGTGCCGGGTAGCTCAGTTGTCAACTTGACACACCAGGGAAAATGAAGCCTCAGTTGGGGAATTTCCTCCATCAGTTGGCCTGTGGGCCTGTCTGGAACTTTTTCTTGACTGTTGAGTGTTGTGGGAGGGCCCAGCCCCACTGTGGGTAGTGCTGCCCCTACACAGGTGGTCCTGGATTATATAAGCAAGCAGGGTGAATACAGGCCAGAGAGCAAGTCAGTGAACAGTCCTCCGTGGTCTGTACTTCAGTTCCTACCTCCAGGTTTCTGTTTGAGCTTCTCCCCGGCTTTGCTGGATAAAGGATTGCATTGTAAACTAACTAAACACTTCATTTCCAAGTTGGTTTGGGTCAGTGTTTTTATCACAGCAACAGAAAGCAAATTAGAACAGAAATTGGTACCAGAGAGTAGGATGTCGCTGTGATGGCGCTGACCATTTGTGCCTGGAAGGACTGTGGAAGTTTTTGGAGCTTTGGACTGGAAAAACGCTTGGAGCTCAGTGAACTCTTCTGTAGGAAATTGGAAGATAATGTTGAAAGAGATGTAGATGATGGAGACCTGGCTTATGAAGCTTCAAAAGAAAACAAGACTCTATTTGTGTGATAGAGTTTGAATTAAGATTTTTTTGGATATGAAGCCGTTTGTGCTTTACCAGGATAATCAATACTGGTCAGCTGGGGCTGAAAAATCAGCTGTGGTTAACAAGAGACCAGCACTGTCAAGGTGGAATCTTCTGGGGAGGATTTCCTCAGGGCCAGCACACAGAAGCTGTGGTACAGAGAGGGCCAAGGCTGCGCATCAAACTTCCAGCAGAACTTGACAATGTGCAAGAGTCTTGCAGGTGGTGCTGAGTGTTGAAAACAGGAAGGGTTCTGGAGAGAAGCTGAGGCTTTGCACTGTGAGCGGCCAGGAGGCCACTGGTGAAGCAGAACCTCAGTTGCAGACAAGACCCTGGCATATTGGAGATGTCTGACTGTGAGACGACCACCAAGGGCACAGCCAGAGAAGTGGAGCTGCCCAAGCCCTTTGGAGCCCAGAAAATCGTGAGTAAATAAATCCCAGATGTCCAGCCTTGAGCTACATCTCTGGACTTTGGTTTTAGTTAAGTGTGCCCAGTTCTTTCCTATTGAAGTAAGAAGTATTTAACTTGTTTTGGATTTTACAGGAGCCCACAGTTAAGGGATTTTTAAAGAGGCATTGAACCTTTAAAGTTGGAATTTTTAAGGACTGTGGGACTTTTAAAGTTATACTGGGTCTTATATTGTGATATTAATATTAACATGAGATGTGTTTGTGTGTCAAGTTGACAATGGGTGGATTGTGCTGGATAGCTTCAGTGTCAACTTGACACCCTAGGAAGAGGAGCCTCGATCAAGAAATTTCCTCTATTGGATTGGCCTGTGGCCACGTCTGTGGGGCATTTTCTTCTCTGAGGCATTTTCTTGATTGTTGAGTGATGTGAGAGGGCCCAGTCCGCTGTGGGTGGGGCCACACCTCGGCAGGTGATCTTGGATTGTATAAGAAAGCAGGGTGAGCATAGGCTAGGGGAGCAAGCCAGTAAGCAGCGGTCCTCGAGGGTCTTCAGTTCCTGCCTCCAGGTTCCTTGCCGTGACGTCCCTCAGTGATGAACTATGACCTGGGAGATATAAAATAAATAAACCCTTTCCTCCCCAAGTTGGTTTTATTCAGTGTGTTTATCATAGCTGTGGAAAGAAAACTAGGACAATCCCCAGATTTCTGATCTGGAGACCACACCCATCATAATTGTCTCTTGCTTTTACATCTACCAGACATCTAGGAGGGCTTTCCCAAGGGCAGAAACTCTTTCTATGTTTTTGTGTGATGTGGAATAGATCACAAGCCACAGCCTAAATTACAGGAGGATGTGGTGCTACAGAAATGGCTCTGTGGGTAAAAATGGGGAGAATACAAAGTAGGAGACTAAAGGACTAAAGTAAGAAATTCTTTTAAGTGACACTTAAAATTCCCCAGACTTCCTAAATAATAGCCTTTTGGGATCTCATGCTATAGAAATGCAACTGCTTTGTACCGTCTTCCTGAAAAGATTTGAACTCTTTTCTTTCCTCAACAAAGGAATATCTACTGTTTTTACACTTAATCAGCTGTAATGAAAGAATATGAAGAGCTGTCATGTGCTTATTAGAGAAAATTATCAGATATTCTTTTATATGATGAAGTAACACACTGAGCTGATAATTCTATAGTGCACACTAAATTACAATTAAAGGCCTTTCTGCTCCACCAGAATCTCATTTATAATCTCTATGGAAATATTCTCCTGTAGTTACTTCATTTATGCTTCCTTTATCTAATTACTATAATATTGGTTCTGAATCTATTTTCCTAATGTGCCCTTATTCAATTATAAAGTTATTTTCAAGTACAGTTACTTTCTAATATCAAAGAATACCACTTGGCCACCTCTGTCATCTGCTTCTTAACTGACAATTGTTCCTGAACCATTTTTGCCTCCACTTTTAAGTAGAGTGAAACTTCCGTAAATCAAAATCTCTTGACTTATTCCTTTTTTTCCCCAAAAAATAATAGCCTGAATGGACTGTCCCAATGATGAGCTCTGCGAATTAAGCTCTCCCGGTGCCTGTACCACCGGTACCTGTTCTCTTGGTCCTCTGTGCATACACAGGAAATAGTTTCAACCCATCAGCTCTAGATTTTGGTGGAATGGAAATAGTTCTGTTCTGAAGGGCTCTTTCTGTCTTTTAGCTTGGAGCAGGCTGCAGGTTAAGAATATGGACATGTAAGAACATTGAGTCAGTATAATATTAGCTTTTAAAAGACATTTTTCTTGAGGTAAGAGGCACAACACTTCTAGAAGGATCAATATGCTTTGTTATGTTACAAGGTTATAAGTGAGAGTCCCCGATCGGGGCAGGGTGGCAGCTAACAGGGGCACATCTGCAGAAAGAGACCTAGGAGCCCAGCTGCAAAAATTTGGCTTGCTCATAACATCTGAGACTAACAGATAGATGCACTGAGCAGGAAGTTTTCACTGGTCAGGATTCAGGGAGGGGGCAGGCTATGTTTTGGTAGGATATTGTTTCCTAAAGATTTTAAGTGGCCAGAAGGCAGAGTGGTCGAGTCTCCGAATTATCTACTTCAGATAATCTCATATGGAGCTCCAAAGCAATGTGCGGTTATCCTGAATAGCAAACCCTGAGACAGGAGTTTCAGGAATACTTACATTTAGCAAACAGCCATTAAACAAAAAATTAAAGAGAGAGAGAGCGAGAGAGAACGTGTTTTCTATGGAAGAGACGGTTTCAACTTACTTTGAGAGGCTGAAACAGCAACATCTCTCTCTAAATGAACCCTCTTCCTTGTTCATTCCTATAAAATGTTTTCTTGGTCAAGGACTTATTAGCATGTATGTGCATCTCTCCTGTCTGTGTGGCTCACAGGGTTGTTTATGATTGGGTTTTGCGGCAGCTTCTAATATTGATCAAGATCGTCAGTGTGACCTGTCGTTGCACTAGCCCTGGCTCTCCCAGGCTAGCTATAGGTCTAAACTGTGCTAACCATGGGTCTTCTGGGCTAACCATGGGTCCACTGGACTAGCTATTGGGTCTATTGGGGTAGTTACAGGTCAGCTCGGATAGCTATGGCTTTCCTGGGCTAGCTGTAGACTGACTGGGCTAACCAGGAGTCTGGTCTGGGGTAGCCACATGTCTGCTGTGCCTTCCTGGGAAGGAGGCCACAGTGCTGATGACAGCAGTAGCTCCCCTCTCACCAGGTCCCGAATCTACTACTTTCAAGCCCAGCCCTGTTACAAGGTTTCCAAGATTTAAAAACATAGCTCTTTCATTCAAAGATGGGGACACTGGACTTTGTTCTTTCGTCAAGACTTTGCTGTTCAATAATGTGTCACCTCTGCTTGCCAAATATTGGGCTCAGTGCTTCTAGTCTTTATTTTACTCATGGAATCTTTTAGTTCTAAGTTAAAAATGAACTCAATAACAGTTTTTATAAGAAGGGTCTTACACCACTGAGTGTACATTAGCTATAAAATTATATGCTCTAGAATCTAAAATCAGAGAAATTTCATTATTAGGCTAGTCTGATGATTGGAAGTCACTGTCCCTTTCTTCACAGATAATTATGGTCACGGAGTCTCTAGAAGCAGAGATAACTTGTCCAGGTCACACAACTCCAGAGTGATGGGGCGGGAGTTGTAGCACAGGCCTGCAGCTTCCCTGGGTTCCACTGCCCTCTGTTCCAGTCTGACCTGGACTTGTCCAGCTTCTGACCCTTTGTTCCCCTCAACCTCATCTAGTGCCATGGTCCCAGCTGTCCTCGGTACAGCTGCCGATGGCTTTTCTCCAGTCTCGCCTTCATGTCCCCTCCTACCTGATCCCATCATCCCATGGGGAGTGTCCCCTCCCCTCCAGCTTCCAGCCCTTCCATAATTGGAAAAACACTGACCTAGCAGCTTGAGGCATCCTTTTGAGAAGGCCTTTCACTTACCTAGAGCAATGCTTTCAAAAAACTGCAATTTATAGTGAGAAATACATTTTACATCAGAACGATGAATATATACATATACATATATAGGTATTTGGTTCTCATTTCATTTTTAAAGTGTGTAATTCATTGGATTTTAGTGTATTCACAGCTACAACCCTCACATTGAGTTTAGAACATTTTCATACCTAAAAAACTATCATCCATCCATTCATCCATCCATCCAGCCACCCACCACCCACCCACCCATCTACTCATCCACCTATCCACCCACACATCAACCCCCCCATCCATCCACCCATCCATCTACCCACCCATCTACCAACCCATTCATCTATCATCCACCCATCATCCACCCATCCATCCATCCATCCATCCATCCATCATCTACCCATCCATCATCCATCCATCATCCATCCATCATCCATCCATCCATCATCCATCCATCCATCCACCCACCCATCTACCCATCTAGCCATCCATCCACCTACCCACCACCCATCTACCCATCATCCATCTTCTGTCATCTGCCATCTAGAATGAAACTTTAGAACAATACTTAATGTCAGGCAGGCTAATACCATCTGCTCTACTCCATTCTATTCTGTTCCTCCCATTTCTTTAGAATATTGCTGACTATACCGACTTCATGTCCTATTATTGAATCTTAATGAACAGCTTGGGAACATTACCCTAGACTGTACCTTGCCCCTTGCTACACATGTTATAGCTCCATTTTCATCCCGTCACTACTCGATGAATGGCTAAGGCTATATTTTTAGAGGGCAGCACTCTGCTCTTGACTGTATCCTCAGAGGCAGATGCTGAGCAAGTAGTAGGTTCTCAGAGAAGAAGAGTTGGCTTGTAAATGTGTCTTTGAAAGGGGAAAATAAATCCATGCCTTTCTCTGTGTGTTCATGTGGGTGCACAGGCATGTATTTGTGAGTGTGTGGAGGCCAGAGGTCAACTTCAGGTGTCATTCTTCAGGTGCTGTCCACTTTGTTTGTTGAAGCAGGGTCTCTCACTAGCTTGGAGGTCACCAAGCAAGCTAGGCTACCTGCCTAGCAAGCCCCAGGGAGCCACTGTCTCTGCCTCCCTGAAGCTGGGATTATAAGCACGCACCACCATGCCCATTTTGCACGGGGGTGCTGAGGGCTGAATGCAGGTCCTCGTTCTTGCACAGCAAGTGCTTTACAAATGGAGCTATCTCCCCAGCTTCACAGCTCTCTTTTTGATAAATGAAGCTACTCTGTCCCACCTTTTACTAATGCAGGCCAGAAGCTGCTTAGCTTTTTCCCAAATAAGGTTTTAGCCCTGCATCCCCCATATAAAGGTCTGAGTATTTCATATCACTTTGCCTGATACACTCAGCTTGAACATCTTCTTGCCAGGGGGACTCAATAGGTTTGCTCCACTGATGGTGATGACATGAGCCATGGAGTTCATAACATAGACATCTGCCAAAGCTGCCTTCAGTGAATCAGCCCTCAGCACACACCCTCAGTGTCTCTGTAGACTCTTCTGCCCTGTCCCCTGTACCTGTCTTTGCCAGTCTCCTGCTTGAAGAGTTCATCAAACTGTAGCATCTTGTGGCGTGTGATCATGAAGGCCTTCAGCCGTGGCAGCACCTGACTCAGGAGCTGCAGGTTGTTGTACACCTGGCCCTTGCCATCCCGCCGCATGTAGCTGCTGGGGCCCCAGAAGATGAACACGGTGCCCTGGCTCACATTGAGCAGGTCATGGCGGTTACGGAGGATCCTCTGGATGCTGGAGTGTGCGATGACCCTTAGGCTGGTGCGGTTGCCCACATCACGCCCATAGCCACGGGTGGGGGCGTCGTTCATGCGGATGACACACTCTGTCTGGTCGATCTGGGGGCCCTGCTGACTACGTAGCAGGTGCCCTGAGCTGGTCACCAGGGCGCAGTCGGTGCAGTGCATTTTCAAGGGCTGCAAGGCAGGGGGGAGAGAAAGGTGGTGTCAGGCACAGAGGATGTACTGTGTTGGCACCACCAGCTTCTACTCCTGTCTCCAGACAAGGTTGTTATTGCCCTTCTTCCCTGTCATGCCAGAGTCTGTCCATTTCATTGTGACTGCATGGGTCCTTGCACTTTCTTCTAAACTGCTGACAGAATGTTAGATAAGGGAGGAGAAGAGCTGGAGTTGATCTGTCCATCACTGGCTAGGGGCTTTGCTGATGATGTCAGGTAGTGTATGGACACATGAACCCAGCAGGATAGCCATCATTGTTTTTAAAAAAATTCATTAATTATTATTTTTATTTTATGTGTATAAGTGTATTGCCTGCACGTATGTGAGTGTACCCATGTTGTGCAGTGCCTGTGGAGGTCAGAAGAACGCGTTGGATGCCCTGAAACTGGATGGTTGTCAGCCGCCATGTGGGTGCTGGGAATCGAACCAGGGTCCTCTGAAAGAGTAGCCAGTGCTCTTAAACGCCAAGTCATCTCTCCAGTCCCAAGATGGCCATGTGTTCTAGTACATATGGTGATGGTTAGCCTTAGAGATGGGAAGAAATATGCTCGAAGATAAGTAGTTATGAAATCATAAAGTCATTCTTTCAAAACCAGGGACTCCAAAGTTACCCGTGAGTCAAAGCAATTCTGTGAATTGCTGTGATGCTAGTTTTGAGACTTTGTCCATCTTATTGAAAAGCTAAGCTTTTATTGATATTCTTAGATGCTGTACAAGTATGTTTATCCTAAATAAATACCACCTAAGAATTACATGAGAAATAGCACACAGAGTCAGGGCCATAATGTTAAAACAATTATGATTTTCTGCTCTCCTTTTAAGGTAGGGAGAAGAGAGGCTGCGATATCCCATTTTCATCAGTGTGGAGTCTCAGGTTCACGGCCACACACCTCATCTAGGAATTTCAGGACCAAGGTTCTTCTCTCACCCATAGAAAACATGCATTCTGGTCACACACAGCCGACCAGGGACAACTTCAGTACCAGCACTCAGTGCGGCACCTCGAGCTCATTTGCCTTCAGAACACTTAGGTGCTAACAAATTAAACATTCCCTGCTCATGTTTAATGGGAAATATCTCTTCGTTGTAAGAAGGTAATGAAATTAGAGCCTGAAGCCAGGGACAGGAAGAGCAGAAGAAAATGACAATCCAGTGGTTTGGGTTGCTTTTTGAGACAGGGTGTCTTGTAGCCCAGGCTGACCTCAAACTCATTGTATAGCCCCAAATGACTTTGAATCCCTGATCCTCCTGCTGTTACTTTGCCCAGTACTGGGATTACAGGTGTGTCCTACCACTCCTAGTTTATGGGTTGCTAGGGATCGAACCCAGTGTTTCCTGCATGCTAGGCAAGTGCTCTCCCAACTGAGCCATATCCTTAGCATAATCAAAATATTCTGAAGGGAAGTCGTATCACTAAATCTTCCCCAGAACTCCGTGCTTTTCTATTGACTATGAACAGAGCACCTGGCTCCTGTGGTCTAAGGAAATCAGATCCTATTTAGCATTGCACATATTCAGTGTTCTATTTACCTATGGACCGTGAGATAGTTTCCTAAAGCATGGGTGTGACTTCAAAGCTTGACTGAGACCTCCCTAGACAGTCACCTCTCGTGGCATGGTGGGTCCAGCTTTATTTCCAATATCTTGTTATGTTGGTTAGTTTCTGTCAATCTGATGCAAACTAGAGTCACCCGGGAAACAGGAACCTCAACTAAAGAATTTCCCAGATCAGATTGGCCTGTGGACATATCTGTGAGGCATTTCCTTATTTGCTAGTTGATGTGGGAGGGCTCAGACCACTGTGGGCAGTGCCATCCTTAGGCAGGAAGGTCTGGGCTGGATAAGAAAGTTAGCAGCTGAGCAAGCCGGGGGAACAAGCAGTGCCCCTTCATGGTCTCTGCTTCAGTGTCTTTAGGTTTCTGCCTTTGATTCCTGCCTGACATCCCTCAAAGACTGTGCCTTGAAAGTGTAAGATGAAGCAAACCCTTTCCTCCCCAAGTTAATTTTGGTCAGTGTTTTATGACAGCAAACTAGAACACTTGCCAAGTCACTGAACTCTACAACCTCAGTTTCTTCAATGCTAACCAAGAAGAAAAGCATAGTCTACCTTGACAGACCGGTAAACCTAAGACATACATACTTTGATTGTCATTAGCAGTATTTGACCTGTAAAAATGGTTGTTGTATGTGTTTGAACCTAATCAAAGCACAGGATTCATTACAAGAATTAGTAAATGACAATGCTCTTAGGGTTATCATGAGTGGTGAATGTTCTAAGTACTTACTAAGTCAGGACTGAGTGCTGTTGAGCTTATGACCAACACAAGCACTTGTGAAATACAGACTGTACCACAGTGCAAGTTACCACCATTCACACAGCACCCAGTTGCTCTTAGGTGATAGACACTGGGCTAGGCAGTCGGATACAGAAAACCAGGGGCAAACAGAGCCCTTCAAAACTTTCACTTTGGAGACGGACAGTGTGTTAGTGAAGGAGCACAGTAAGGTATGACAGGGCGTGAGGAGGACTGTGATGAAATCCAGCTGAAGGCGGTTAATGACGACTTTGTAGGCTGGGAATGGGAATGTAAAGAGTGGTCAAATAGCTAATATTGCATGTTCTGCACGTGTCAGGCACTTCTCTGAGCTTTTTATATAGTCGTATTTATCTCTCACAATCCTATGAAGTGTTTAAGTGCTGCTACTCCCCAAATAAGAACACTGAAGGATAAAAACAAAGCAGTTTACTCAAGGTCATACAGTTAGAAAGAGAACTGGGATTTGAACCCAGAAAATCTGGCTCCAGAGCCAGCGGGATTACTGTTCTGCTAGCACAGTGCAGCACAACAGTTAGAGTGTTGAGAGGGGCTTCAGCCACTGTCTACCTCCTCCTCCCTGCCAAGAGTGCAGTATGCTATCTCTTTCCTTTCATGGTGGCGCACACCTTTAATCCCAGCACTCCGGAGGCAGAGGCAGGCGGATCTCTGTGAGTTCAAGGCCACCCTGGTCTACTCCAGGTCTACTCCCTGGTCTACTCTGTGAGTTCCAGGACAGCTGGGGCTACAGGGAGACCCTGTCTCAAAAAGACAAAAAAAAAAAAATTTATGGGGGCTGAAGAGACGGCTCAGTGGCTAAGAGCACTGACTATACTTTCAGAGAACCTGGGTTTGAGTCCCAGCATCCACATGGCAGCTGACAACTGTCTGTAACTCCAGGTCCAGGGGATCTGATGCCTTCTTCTGACCTCTGTGGGCATTGCATGACACGCATGCACCTACCTACATGCAGGCAATACACTCATACACATAAAATAAAAATAAATAAAATATTGAAAAAAAATTTTAAAAATTATGTGTATATGAGTGTGTCTATGTGTGGGTATGCACATGTGTCCAGCTGCCCTTGGAAGCCAGTGGATCCCCCTGAACTGCAGTTACAGGCAGTTGTGAGCTGCCCAACATACTGCTGGGAACCAAACACTGGTCCTCTGCAGGAGCATTATGGGCTCTTAACTCCTGGGCAGATGTGAGGATTCTGGGAGGATTATTCAGTGTACACTCATTCAGCTAGACCATATGTCCATGGTGGTGACACATGGTCAAGACCTGACCTTGAGGAAGAGCCACATTCACATGCCCAGCAGGTAGCCTCTGTTCTCCTCAGCAAACTGCTGGGATCCGAATCCTCCTTGTGAACTTCTATGGTAAGAGACCATCTCGGAGGCTGAATGTTGGAGGAAGTACTGAACTTTCCTCTTCCTCACTTTACAGGCACATCCTGTACACAAATCATGGAGAACACAACAGTAGTTTATTCAATGATATTAGTTAGTTTGTTTGCTGTTGAGAATACCTCTCAAGAGACAGCTTAAGAGAGAAGAGGGTTGTTTTGGCTCATGGCTGAAGAGATATGGCTCATGATCAGGAAGCCTGGAAGCAAGTAGCTTTATGGTGGCATGAGTGCCAGGGAGCTGCTTGCTCACATCTGGTCAGGTCAGGGAGTGGGGAGAGACAGGAAGGGGGGCAGGGCTCTACACCCCAAGAGATCCACTTCCTCCAGTTAGACCTCCTCTCCCAAAGGTTCCACAACCTCCCAAATAGCACCACCAGCAGGGAACTAACTATTCACGCAGGGGTCTGTGGGGATCTTTTACATCTAAACCATAACGCAGATTAACGTTGATGTATCAGACACTGAACTTGATGCTATAGATAAGACAACTAAGGGAATTGTGGTGGCATGAGTGCCAGGGAGCTGCTTGCTCACATCTGGTCAGGTCAGGAAGTGGGGAGAGACAGGAAGGGGGGCAGGGCTCTACACCCCAAGAGATCCACTTCCTCCAGTTAGACCTCCTCTCCCAAAGGTTCCACAACCTCCCAAACAGCACCACCAGCAGGGAACTAACTATTCACGCAGGAGTCTGTGGGGATCTTTTACATCTAAACCATAACGCAGATTAACGCTGATGTATCAGACACTGAACTTGATGCTATAGATAAGACAACTAAGGGAATTCCTTCTCAAGGGATCTTGCAGTCCAACTTGTAGGGACAATACCCCATCCTGCACTTCACGTTACTTAGTAAGTTTGCTCAGGGGGGCCTAAGGCCATGGGAATGGAATTTTCCAGTTTAGTTTACAGTTTCAAGACACTGTGCTCACTGTTACTGGAGAATATTCTCTGGGGAGGTCCCATGGCAGCTCATTTCCCTATAATTATTTCATTGGAACTCTCACAGCTGAGGCTGGTTGACAGGTGAAATACCTGTCACCCTAGGAGCACTCCAAGGACCTTGTTCTTTTTCTCTCCTTGCCCTGCAGAAGAACTTCTCAAGGGAGTGGTGGGGGCCGGTGTGTATGTGTTCTGAGCCTTCCTTACTGGGATTACTGCACACAACCAGAGCCTGCCAGGGATTGTCCCAATCCCAGACAGCCCACGCTCCTCTTCCCTGCACACG